TAGTGGAAGATGTCCCTGTCTACAGCACAGGAGAGTTGGACTGGATGATCTTTGAAGGTCTTTTCCAACCCAAACCACTCTGAGTCTACCCCTGCTTCAGGCTGCAGAACTAGAGCTGCCTTTGCCGTGCCCCTGTACTGCACCAAAGACAATCCCCACAGCCCTGCCTGCACCAAAAGCCTCACCTGGTCAGAACTGAGTGGGACTGCAGATCAGGAGTGGGAGCAGCACCATGAATGGGAGGGACCAGCCGCTTTGCTTTTTGTGTCCAGGACATGCCCAGACACCCTTTACCAGGTTCCTTGCTCTGCTGGGGCCACGCTTGCTTCACCACAGCTCCAGCTCTTCTTGCCTCCATCTCCAAGGTCTGCTGAAGTCCAGGCTGGCTCTTATTTCCCATCCCAGGGAAGCTGGGAGAAGCAGCACAGAGGGTGGAGGAGCAAAGAGAGGCCAGGAGAACAAGGCCAGGCTTTTCACCAAAACCCTTGTTTGTCCTCTCACACTGCTTCTCCCGAAGGAGCATCACACGAGCTGGAGCCTGAAGCCCCCAACACAGCATGACTGCGTCTCCTAATCTTCAAGGAAACATCCTCTCTGCACTGGTGGGTCTGGGCACCAGGGCGAACGTACCCCTAGAAAAATCACAGCACAGTGGGAAACAGAGCTAAGAGGGCATGGAAAGCAGTGTCAGAGGAGGGCAGCTCCAGCAAGAACCAGCTGCAGCCTCCCTTCCCTTGGCACCAGCCGAGCAGCACCTGCTCTGAGCAAAGCGGGCTTGCAGCTGTGACACCTACCAAAGGGACCTGGTGAGCAGCAAGGTTACGCTTACATGAGAGCACAGAGCCTGCTCAGAGGTGTCTGGCCAGAGCCCAGGCATCGATACGACTCCAGAGTGCCTTTTTGGTCACCAGCCAGTGTTGCCTCAACACATTAGACAGAGGTGAGAAGCTACAATTTGTCTCCTTGACCACCTGGCACATCTCTCTGCCAGGAGATGGTCTGCTAGGAATTACAGACAAATAACTCAAATCTCGTCCAGCAGGCAGAGAGCCTGAACCCAGGACCTGCGCCCCAGTGTCCAAAGGCACCACCTTGAGTCTGCACAGCTTAAATTATGAAGCTGGAGGTCAAGTGTACACACAACCGAACCTCCCCTTCCATCCTCGTGCAGAGCCATAGGGGACCTAATTCCAGGTCTGAAATATTTATCGGGTGTTCCGAAGCCTGCAGAGATAGACTGAGCTGACAGGCCGAAAGACACAACTTCAGATTGGAAGATTTATGTTCCCGGAGGCAATTCATCCAGCAAACAGCACCCGTTACATAACACAGCGACGAAGGAGCCGGGGAGCGCGGCCACGGGGAGGGATGAGATGCACGGGGAAGACGGATGGCAGAGAAGACCTTCCCAACCGCTCCAGAAAAAAAACCAATCATCACTTCACTCCTCTCCGGCTGGCACCTCGCCTCTCAAAGCCACGTCCTCTGGGAAGCAGCGTGGACCGAGGAGCAAGGACAAACAGCCTGCTTCAAGCGCCAGGAGCAGCAACAGATGCAGCAGCTCACTGGGAAGGATTTTAGGAACAGGTTTACCAGGAGCTGTGACTCAAATCAGGAGTAGCAGTAGTGACGACTCCGACCTGAGGAGGAATAGAGCCCCACAGCTCCTCTGAGCCCACCTGTGCCCCGAGATGATGCTGCCCACCCCGCAGCTGGAGCTGCTCCGTGGGGAAATCCTCCCTGTCTCCCTACAGCTGGGCATGGGCCCATCGGAGCCACAAGGCACAGGCAGGCAGGGGGCTTCCACCTTGCTGGCACGATGGCAAAGCTGGCCAGCTGCCCACCCACCAAGCGCCAAAATAAGCCCAGGGAGCAGCAGCAGCAACACAGATCCGAGAACAGTCTGTGCAGCCAGAGAGGGATCAGTGGGAAGGAAGTGGAGCAATGAGCTCTCGGTGTGACACGGATCCAGCCTGGCATCTCCACCCGTGCTGGGCAGGTGGGTAAATCCAGGTCTGACACAGGGTCCTGGACCTCACTGTTTTCTGCAACAGCAGAGCACATGCAGGAGAGCACCAAGGGCTTGCATCCACCTAAGCACCCAGCCATTTAAGACACAGGTTCCAGCAGGATCGCACCTGCGGGGTCTCTCACCTCTATTAGAGACCCTGAAAAAGCAGCAAACAATTCAGCCAGCAGACATGGTACATCCGTCCGTCCATCCATCCATCCTTCCACTCAGTGCTCCAACGGTAACTCCAACCACTGTTCATCTGTTTCCCAAATTACCGGCTTAGCTCTGTCCTGATTTTCTGAAGGTCCATCAAGTACCAGCACAGACTGCAAGATGGATGGATGGATGCATGGATGGATGGAAAGCGGCCCTGTGGAGAAGAACTGGAGGATATTGGTGGGTCACAAAAAGGACACACGCTGGCAATGTGCACTTGCAGCCCAGAAAGCCAAGCATCTCCTGGGCTGCATCACCAGCAGTGTGGCCAGCAGGCCAAGAGAGGGGATGCTCTCCCTCTGCTCTGCTCTCCTGACACCCCCCTGGAGCACTGCATCCAGCTCAAGGGTCCCCAGCACAAGACACACATGGACCTGGTAGAGCAGGTCCAGAGGCGGCCTCCAAAATGGTCTGAGGGCTGGAACACCTCTGCTGTGGAGAAAGGCTGAGAGAGTTGGGGTTGTGTAGCCTGGAGAAGAGGTGGCTCTGGGGAGACCTTACTGCAGTCACTCAATACTTAAAGAGGGCTTATTGGGAAGATGGAGAGAGACTTTTGACCAGAACCTGCAGTGACAGAACAAGGGGCAGTGGCTTTAACCTGAATGCAGGTGGGGTTAGGTTGGACATTGGGAAGAAATGTTGTACCATGAGGGTGTTGAGACACTGGCACAGGTTGTCCAGAGAAGCTGTGGCCGTCCCATCCCTGGAAGTGTTCAAGGTCAGGTTGGACAGGGCTTGCAGCAATCTCATTTAGTGGCAGATGTCCCAGTGCATGACATGGACAATCTTTGAAGTCCCTTCCAACCCAAAGCACTCCGTGATTCGGTAAGTCTATCTACCACTGAGCACCTGACCAGCCTCACTGCACCTCCTGGACACACCACAATATCACAAAACAGTAATTTCTAACCAAGGTGCAGGCTCTTCTTTCACTGCCCAAACAGGTTTTGGCATTACAAACTGAATTTTCTACAACACCAAGGTCAGGTAACACCGTAAAACAAAAGCAGAAGCACTCCCAGCGTCCTGGATGCTTCTGGAAGTCACATCAATGTCACCATATCTTGTTCACTGCAGATCTCAAGACTTTTAAATAGATTTATCATGCTTTTAGGCCACAAGTGCCCTTTGCAGCCCGAGCTCTGGCTCAGCCCCAAGCGGACGCCGTGCCGATGCGTTCTGTACGAGCCCAGCAGCCAGGAGCAATGCAGTGACAGCTCTTCGCTGAAAACACCCAAACAGAAACACTGCAAAATCCTTCAGTGCAAGCGCAGACCAAAAGAGCCTGGAGGATGATTGAGCAACAGCCTGAGACACGTGAATTCACTTGAGAAAATCCCTCACTTCCAGGCTTGGCCAAGTGAATTTTAGCTGAGGAGCAGCTGCCAGGAGAGGGGAGTGTAAGACAATTTAGGAAGGGCCAGGTTCTTCCAAGCAATTAGCAATATCTATTGATTTGACCTAGGGCTGGACACAAGAAAAAGCGTGTACAGGCAACCTCCTGGGGCCTCTAGAAACAATTCACAGTTGGATATGAACAGGCATGGAACTGCACTGGGCAAATGAAGAGAAGTGGATGGGAGGAGGGTGGATGGCAAGACAGAGACCTGGTCTCAGCTTTCCAGCCCCTGAGCACACCAGGGCCACTGCAGCCTGGAGGGCACAAGCAGCATTCAGCTCCTCAGCAGTTGCCCCTTGGCCCATGAAAACACCATCGCCAATGCCAAGGGCTGCCAGCAGCTCAGAGCCATCAAGCAGAGCTGGCCCTGCAGCAACTATCAGCCCCACAATCACCAGTACTGAGTGGGGCGGGCAAAGGAGAGCCCACACGGCCTCACGGCAAGACTGAAGGACAGGTCTGGGGCAGCAGAGATGTTCAAATGCTTGTCCAGGGTCCAGCCCCAGACCTCCACTCCAGTTCCCCCAACAAGCAGCTCCGCTCAGCTGTGCTTACCCCTGCTCTCCCTTGCACAGCTCAGCACCTCAGCCCCACCCGCTCCCCAACGAGGGGATGCAGACACCAAAGCTGGAAAGCCTCTGCCCTAAGGAAGCCCAGCTGACCCCACTAGCCCCAAGTGCTCTGTCAGTGCCAGCTCCTTTGGCTCCCCTGAGAGATCTCTGCTCACAGCTGAGGACAGGGGAACTCATCACCCACAGCTCTACCTCTGCCAGATTCCGCAGACTCCCAGATGTTGTCATCTCTTGGGTGCTGCTATCCTTAATTTCTCTTCCTGGCAACAAACCTCTTCTCCAGAGCACAAGATAGGAAGAAAACAGCGATACACCAGTAAGGTCTGAAGTGACAGACTCTTTGGCCAGCCAGCAACAAAACATCCTCCAGGATGGAGAGGACAGCTTCACAAGGGCACATCGCAGGCTCAGAGAAGAGCTGCACCACTTCTGGGCCAAGCAGGCAATGCTCGGCCAGTTCTGCAAGTGCTGCCTCATCCACGTACCCTCCCCAGGCAGCCCGGGGCAAGACAAGGGCCAACCAGCATAAAACCATTTGCTCTTTCAGCCTCCATGTTGCCCCATCCATCAGGAATTCCACTCCAGCAGTCTTGCTAGACCCTCAAGGTCAGAAAGCCATCAGCCATCCCTCCATCTCCTGCCCATGCATGTCTCAGCCCTCCCTCACCCCAGCCATCATATGCCCCCCCAGCCATGGCAGCCTGAAGACAAGAAGACTTCTGACTCCATCCACCCCGCAAGCGGCCCGGCCCAGCAGCCACGTGCCTGCAGGGACACGAGCAGATCACGGCTCACTCACTCTCATCGGGGTTGGGCGAGGCAAGAATGGCACTGTGCTTCCTCTTCACTTCCTCCACGTTCTCCGAAATTTTATCAATGAACCCTCGAATTTCTTCCACCTGTGGAGATGGACAACAAGACAGGTCTTCTGTGAGATGCCTAGACTTTTGGAAAGGGGAAGGATTATTAAACCCTATTCCAAAGCAACCATGACAGCAAATGTCCTCCTGGACAAATATCTTCCAGCTGGATTCTCAAACTGTAGCACTTCCATGAAATCAGACCTTCCACACCACAGCAGCCAGCTTTGCAGTCACAGCAGTGTAACACAGACTCTACGTCCTGCCTCCTTCACAATGTACTGAGAAACACCTGAGGTTTATTTAAATTACCATCAGACCTGCAGATTCCCAGACTCTGCCCCTCCGCCATGGAGAACATTGCTGAGGATGCACAAGCCAGGCTCGGTCCTGGCTCAGTCCCCCATGGCTCTTTGCTCCAGGGGCTGAGAAACCCAGTCTGACCCTCACCCACAGGCCAGGGAGGTCACATTTACCAGCAAATCCACACTGGCATCTTTCCCACGTTCCTGTACTACAAGGAGACACGCCGGCATTGCCGGGAGGGGGAAACTCTACCTGTGCCCTCTGCCTGCCGGGCTGCCCACCCTCCAGCTCTGTCTTCTCCTTCGACTCACACCACCATTTTGCTCATCTTCCTCCATCTGCACATGAGATTTTTTTCATTCCTCACTCCATTGCCTGCACAGATACATTTTAACACCCCCTACACACATGCCATGCTCAGGGTGTGCTAAAAATCTGCATGCAGATCTTACAGCCACCCACATGCCAGAAGACAACCTCTTGTTTAGTAACGAGGCACGAAATTAAATCAATCCCATGCTGAAAGTGCTACTCTGCAGAGGTGCTTTCAGGAGAGGCTGGAGAGCCAGGCTGCTTCGGTGGCAGGCGGGGGGCAGGTGGGCTGCAAGGCTCACCCGTGCCCGCCAAAGGGTCACCTGGCCCAGCTGCCACCCTGTTTTCTGGAGGAGAGGTGGAGCAGCAAAGCATCCACAGGGCCAGGTAAGCCCACGACAGCCCCAGATCTGCATGGAAGCCTGGCTCCTGCTAATCAGCCCTCCGAGCATAACCTCTGAGGACACCGAGCATCAGCTGAGCAGGACCCCCATCCCCACCTCCACCACTGCTCCCCGCCCGCGGTGGGAGCCTGTACCACAGCCTGCCCCAGTGCTAACAGAAAGGTCTGAACTGGCTTTAAAGCTGCACTGGAGAAACAAACCTCTCACCTGCTCAAAGAACTCGTCCATGAAGCGGTCCCGGTCCACGCTGACGGTGACTTCATCATCATCGTCACTGTCCTTCGCCTGCAACAACATGGAGACAGGCATGAACGAGTGCTTCCCGCAAAGTCTGCAGCTCCATTTCAGGAGCTCCTCAGGGGTGTCTTCCCCTTCTCCTTTGCTCACTTGCTCCCAGGAGCTGGGGCAAACCCCAGCCAGAGTGTGGGATGCCACAGGTTCTGCCACAGCAGAGCCTGCGGGGACACCCAGAGAGCAGAGGACAGCCAACCCCAGCAATAAGGGCACGATGCAAAGCACCACCGCAGCCAGCTGCCGCGCCGCATGGCTCCCACGGCAAGCGCAGAACGAGGCTAACGATAGCTGTGCGTTCAGAGCGAGCGGAGCTACGCTCAGCTGCACGCCAGCACAACGGCTCTGCAAAGAGCAGTGATGGGAAAACACACAGGACGCTGCAAGGAGAAAACACGCAGGACGCTGTGATGGGAAAGCGCGAGGGATGCAGCGATGGGAAAGCGCGAGGGATGCAGCGATGGGAAAGCGCGAGGGATGCTGCAGAGTGCAGGAAAGATGGGAGAGAACAGAAAATACAACAGAACTAGCAAAGCCACAGCAGGCAAATGAGGGGCTGTCTGCAGCAGCATGTGTGTCACTGTCACCAGAGATGAAAACAACTCCCGTCCCAGCAAGGCAGAGGACGCAAGCTCATGGGGGAAAGAAAAATTACAGTCCTCTGGATAAGGAGACATTTAAAAGATTATTATCCAAAGCAAATACATGGTGGAGGGAAATGGAAAATTAATGGGGTAGAAAAGTTTCTTCTTACTCCAACTTCACTAGAGAGAAGGAGCCAGTGGAATAGAGAAGAATTGAGAGAGGACTGTCTCTGCTCATCTCATAATTGTCCCACATTTTTCAGACGTTCACAAGTCAAATCACGGCCCCTTCACACTTTGTAGAGCTGGTCAATACAGTCTCCATAGAGACGCCTCTTACCCTTAAATAAGTCAGATGAAGTACCTATCCTTCCCCTCAAAATTGTCTTTTCAACCTAGAGTGACTGATTTGGGTGGAGTCACCCAGAGGAGACCTCAGCTTTCAGTCTTGCCACCGCTCGTGGCACCCTCTGCTTTGGTAACCACTTCATGAATGGCTGATCCAAAGGCCGTGGGAATCGAGAGATGCCGTGATTCAAGTGAAAATCTCACCTTGACAAGGAAAAGCAGACACGTGGCTGCCCTCACCCACCACTCTGTGGACATGAAGAAGAAATATTCCCTGAAGCCAGGAACTCACAAGTTGTCCAATTTGGCCACAGCCAGGCCTCCACGCCAGGGGCTTGGCTGGCAGGAGCTGCCCGCGCAGTGAGGCTGGGGCACAGTGGAGCTGCCAGCCCAGGAAGAGGTCGACGCATTTAACTTTTGATGGAGCCGGGCAAGATGAACCTGAGGATGAGCACACAGAGCTTTCTCTTGCTTTGACTTGGATCTCTTCCCTACGTTACTAAAAATACACCATGGTGCTGAGCACAGGGATGGGGAGCGGGGTCGGCAGCCCCCTGCCCGCACAGGCACGCCTGCACCCGTCTGGGCTTGCAGAGAGCTCTGCACGCTCCCTGCAGAAGGCAATGCCCTTTGCATCAGGCAGGGCTCAAC